TGTATTTGAGTGTGTAAGTGAAAGAGTACAAAGAGAGTGAGTGTGCAAGAGAGAAAGTGTAAGGTGTGTGTTTGTAAAGAAAATATTTTTGTTAATAAGATCATTTTTAGTTTGGCCTTTAAACTCAATATATCCCGCGATTTACCTCCTCCAAGGTTCTAGAGGCAAGAGTTTTGGAAGTTCATGATTTAATCTGGCAAAGTTGGGACACCTGTATATAAAAAAGAGAATAAAAAAAAGTAACATGTAAGCTTCTTTTTTTTTTTGATGATATGTTTTGAAACTTATCTTGTGGGTACAAAAAAGTTGTATAAAGTAAGTTTTACTTTTGCAAAAAGTAGTAGAACTTTTTGTTAATCAGATAAAAGAATAGATTGAATTTGGTCAGCACCTCAGTGACTTGTTCCCTATTTTGAGAAGCAAATAGTACTTTTATGGCGTATAGTTAACAACATACTGACAATCGAAGTTGGTGTTTGAAAATGACTCGCGTTACGATGCCATCAAACCCATTTTCCACTCCTACAAACCTCGGCCCTTATATAATGGGAAATGTTGGGTGTACAGAACCTCTACGGACAATTCACATGACACGGGACCCACTTCAATAGAAAATTTTTAAAAAATTATCCCCCGCCCCTTCATGTGAGTTGTCGGTGTGAACCTCCATCAGTACACCCAGTATTTCCCTTATATATTTGTTGGGAATTGGGATAGGTGCCTAGTTTATTTGTAAATTATGACATTCTCAATTTGTCTATTAATTAATAAATGCTTTATTTATTTTTGAGATAATTACTTACTGCATATGTGTAAATGATTAACCTGTTTGGCAACCATTATTATTGGAAAAAAAAAAAAAAGAGTTTTGAATAGCGATTTTTAGAAGAATGTATGGTTAAAAAATAGTGTAAATTTTTTGGTATACATGTAGAATATTTTATTATGTGAATATGTAGTTAAAAATGATTTCGTAACAAATCATAAAATAAATTAATAGTTGTCAAACAAGCACTAAGTGCCATCAATTTCTTTGCTTATAATACCGGTCATGTAATTGTGCATAGAAGTTCAGAAAACTTATATTTCGATCAAGAAGTAGTTGTCATATATCAACTTATAGAGATGGGCACTCTGTCTGGATCGAAGTGTCAATTATTTTACCGATTGACGTACCGATGTGTCTTGCCTATGATAACTAATGATTGTTCGTTCAAGAGTAATGATACCAAGTAAAGATATTAATTAGTCTTATTGGATTAATTAAATTTGTAATGGGACCGTGATTGTTATTTATGAACTTGAGGTTTTTTAATACACTAGCAAGTGAGATTACTTGATTATGAAAGTTACGCAGTTCGACCTTACGTGCGAAATTATACTAACTAAAGCAACAAGTCACTTTTAATTAGTTTCTAGATGATTAAACAAACAAGTTCAATTATCCTAAATTGAATTACTGCAGTTTGTAATGAGAAAGCAGTAAATAATGAACACCAATATGATGACGGAGAAACCTAATTGGGTAAAAACATTGGGACCAAGCCAGTTACCTCCACTATAGACAATGTAAGTTACAGTTCGTTTCCAACCTATCAAATTCCACTAATTCCCGTTGTTGTAATTCATGTAATCTCCAAGATCAGGTGTTCCTCCAGACTCACGATTTGCTACCGTAGATACTATTTAACCACCCTGCTAGATTTTTCGATCTACCTCCTGTAGCTTCCAAGATCTGCTGTAAATTTCAAACTCACAATCTTCTGCAATTGTCTCTTCCAAGTGGATACCCAAGAATCACATATTCGTGTTCTTCTTCCTACGCTTGTAATCCAACTTCTCTCAACCTCCATAAACTTCTGAAGTCCAATTGAGAAAGTACCTTCCTTGAAGTATAAAGGAAGCCAGGTGTTTTGGATTCTTCAATTTGATGTTTTCCTAAATCTTGGTTGCTGGATCTCAAGAGTGATATGGATGAATTAATGAATTCAGTTCTTGGATCTTCAAACAATGATATGAATGTATATTCAATGATAGCAAGTTAAAGGTGTATGAGTAGTATGAGCCGTGTAAAGCTCTCCAAAATCGCGAACTAGGATTAGCCGCATAATACTGTCGCTCGAGCGACGCCTGGGCAAGAAGCGGCGACAATGATTTTGTTTCTATCGCTCAAGCGATGGCCAGGCATGAAGCTAGCAAAATTCCGGAGCCGCTTTTTCCTTGTTTCCGAACTCAAACTTCAACCCTAAGCTACCTAACTCAAAATTGCACTTCACTCTTTGACTTTTACACATGTTCAATTAAGTCCTCTTTGTTCACAGGATTGTCAATTACAATTTTGAACCTAACAGATTATGATCATCATATCAATGTGCTAGGAATTAATAGGAATCAAAGTAACTATCAAGTTTTTTCGTTCGAAAATCGTCAACTTGTTTAATGGGTTAACAAATCTACTTTATTATTTTCTTAAAAAATAGTTTAAATATGGGACTCTTAAATAATTAATTTGTGATTATGTCACAAAGAAACCATTTAAGAAAATGCACAGGGTAGTCATGAAAATAAGTAGAAGGGCTAAAATCTATTTTCTATGCACTCATTTTCAGTCAGACATTCACACAATAATATATTCGGTATGTAAATCCAAATTCTTTTTTCCTATTCTCAAACTATAAATTCTTCTAAAAATCACTATTCAAACGTTAAAGATTTCAATAACGGGATTGAAGCACTTATCTGTCTAGATAAGAATTCAATATTAAAGTTTGATCACGCTTCTTCGCAATCCTTTGATTGATTATGTTATAACGTGACAATAGCTATTAGATAAAGATTTGAGGTCAAATTTTGTGAAAAAATAAATTTTTTATGGCCTAATTTTAATAGTGTTTCCAACAGTATTTTGGTATTGGTTGATGGTTTAGAAAACCACCAAAAGATTTGTCAAAATATAACGTTGAAAGTGCACTACACTTATTTTTCAAAATATATTTTTTTCTTTCTTATCCTCAATTACAAATTTTTTTAATAAAATAATATTACAAATAAATTCAAATTTTTTCCAAAATACATTTTCATTTGAATCAAACGTCAAAATTTATTTGAATGGCAGTTTTTTCTACTTTTCAACATTTCCAAGACCAATAACAGTTGTTCGAAATTCTCTAGAGAATTGGAGGTGGAAACCACGAACACCAAATTGAAGAACAAATGTCGAAACGCGAACCAGAGAACTCATATCAAGATCAAAGAAAAACCATGGAACTTCAATGACGAAAACCAAATTTCATAAAGAAACTGCTGATGGATGTTTATTGATGATTTTAAGAGATCCACAAACAGCAACACAAATCCAATTACAAATCACATTAGTAATCGGTAGATCGAAATTATAATTGAAACTTACTGCCACAAAGCATTACATAAGATCCTTACACATAAATTTCTCAAGCCATCGCTTTAAATTATTTAACCTTTCAATTCTTCGAAGGAAGTGAGTTTCCTGAATTTCTCCCATGGCTTCTCCCAAACAATCGCCTGATAATTGTGCGGCACCGCCCCATTCTTGGCGGAGATAACCAGCTTGTAATTGGTACCAGAAACAACTTGGGTTTCTCCCTTGACCACACTTAGAAATTGCAATTTTGATTTGGCCTGCTTGTTATGCTCCTGCACCGCGTATTTCGCGATTTTTTGCACATTAGGATCATTAAGGTTCTCGATTGGACGCCAACCGCCAACGAGGCCGCCCTTCCTGCCACCCAACGCGGTGGAGACTTGGATAGAAGCCACCAGAATTGGGAGGATTATGAGGAGAATCGCGAGAGATTTGAGTCTCATTTTCTGGGTTTGCTAAAGAGTTATTCTGCATGTACAGCCCCCACGCGCAACTCATATAGGGACCTGCACCGACAACTCACGTAGAGGTGGGTTCCACACGGTACCCATTTCAATAAAAAATTTACCTTCACCCTGTATATGTAGAAGAATACTTTGTCAAATGCTGTTGAAGTTGTACGATGGTGTTTGAAAACTTGTTTAAGCCAAAGTAGTTTATTCATTGTTAATCATATATTAATAAAATAAAATATTTTATATTTGGGGAGTGTTCGGTAGAGATTAAAATCGAATTAAAATTGAAAAATTAGTCGTTATTGTTGACTTTATTAAATGAGTAAGACCCAATAACGACTATATTTTCACTTTTAATTGAATTTCAAGTTACCCCGAACACTCCCTAAAAATTCAAAAAAATTCTCACGTTTCTCATAGTTGAAAGTGTTTAGCCCATGTTTGAGTCACATTAAAATTTTCACTTTCATTTTTTTTACTCATTTTCAACCACACAATTTTCAATAAAATAATATTTTCTATCACATCAATAGTTTTTCATTCTTTTTCAATCACACATTTTTCATCAATCTACTATTTCAAAATATATTTTTCCAAAATAATGTGACTCAAACACACCATTTGAAAGCTTAATCCCCTAAATCAGCAATGTCTATCTTTAGACCACGGTATGACACGTGCGACTGTTTGTTTTGTTTGTCTGCCGAATGGATAACTTCAACCCTAAAAAGTTAATATAATCCCATTTACTGAAAATTAAAATAATATTAGTCAAAACCAACAAATGATTTCAACCACAGATTATGTAACGTTCACAACTTTTCAACTATATATCTCATCAACTTTTATAAAAATTTATTAAAATTCTAATTTTAATCTCTACCAAACAACGGTATAATTAAAATTTTAAAAACTCTAAACGGTAATTACCACGACACTTTCTATTTTTCAAACCACATTATAAATACACCCCATTTAAAAGATTATGAATCATTGTTCTCAAACGATATTTGTTGCTATCAGAATAAGTGTTTGAACACTTTCATTTGTAAATAGTTTGTATGAGTAATCAAAACCTTAATCCAAAATTTGAATCAGGCAAACAAATTTGAAAAAGGAACTTAAAAACAAAATTATCTTTGACTTGGATACAATGATATAGATTTATTTCTTTTTTTAGTGCGATCTCTATCAATTTTGGAACTCAAATAATTAGTTAAGTCAGTCCTGATAAAGAAACACAACCAAATGAAGCTGGAGATTGGGTTGAGCAATTGAACAGTGTTTCCTACTTTGTTGTTGTAAACCCAATCTAAATTGTTGACTTGCTATTGCTGACATTCTCAATTTCTACACTTCCAAAGGTAAACTCACATATAAATAGATGTAGGGCAGCGAGTTACTGACTTGCTGTTGCTGGGAATTATGTTGGTGGATTGAAATAATTGAATTGGGGATAGTTGCTGGGATGAGTGGAGTGGGGATTATCTTGCCCTTTATTTGTATAAGAAAAATGCTATTAATCCTCAGTGTGGATACATCCTCAATCTATGTGAATGTAAATGATTGGTTAAATGATAGGTGAAATTAAATGATTTATTTAATTTCACCTATCATTTAATGCCACATTAACGCTACATAGACTGAGAATGCATCCCCAATAGAGATAAATAGCATTTCTCATTTGTATAATTGAGCCACATTATGCTTCAACATTCCCTTCAATTATTGCTTTGACGATTGCCTTTCCCTTCAATTATTATTTTGACGATTGCCTTTTATTCTATTTATATCGAGTTTGTTTTATTTCATTGTTTGTATCAATTATTTAAAAAACACTTTACACCTAAATTTGCGTTATCTTGTGATAAGTAAAATATTAATGAAAAGAATGTTCGAAATAAAAGGGATGAGACTGATGTTGGAGATAAAAATATTATTCTCATTCTAATCTTTGCATTCTAGTCTTTTAACTAAAAATAACTTTTCACTATATTTACACACATTCTCAATCACGTCCCGATGACCACTTCACCATGACTTGACTGTCGGAGTGCTCGTGGCCGCTTCCACTTTCACCAAAAAAGGCCACGAGTGACTAACAGTGTGTTATTGGGTGGGAAGGAGCATACGTGAAGACTTATTCTGTTGGCCACGCGTCGGAGCAATTTTTCGAGGTCAACAGATTGATGCCGACTATGGGAACGTTACTGTAACTACAAATATCCCCACGATAGAAAAAGTTTATCGGAATATTCGGTCAACATTCTCCCTTGAAAAGGGGATTTGTTCTTGAAGAAAAAACAAGTGGAAGCCATAAACCAAGTCTTTATTATTTGGAAGAAGAGTTTGCAACTCCAAACCAATTGGTTCCAACAATGAAGAAGTGAACCCAATGAGCGTAAGAGGGATCTCTAAAGAAGAGATCATCGGAATAATGTCACACACTAAAGGTCCTGTTGCGTGACTAATTGTCAAAATGGCTCAAATGGCTACCAACATGAGAAGCATCGTCTTGGAAAGTGAGAGACTACTTCTTTAGAAGTGGCCTTGAATAAAAAGACCCCCTAAAAAGGGGTAGGCCCCTGAAGAAGAGGCCATGAATAAAGAAACCCCCTAAAGAGGGGGGAGGGTCATTGATGAAGAGACTATTGGAAGACCCTTTTTACAAATAGGAGGCCTCTAGAAGTAGATGCCATGAAGGGAAGATCCCTGAAAATGCGCAATATTTGAGGAATGCAAAGACCTCACTCGGGCCATTCAAAGGCCTCATCCTTGCTTAGGCACCTCAGCTATGCAAAACATCATCATTGCCTAGGCACCTCAGCTGTGCAAGGCCTCATCATTGCCTATTCACCTTGGGCATACAAGGTCTTATCCCTGCTTAGGCACCCCGGCTGTGCAAGGCCTCATTATTGCCTATTCACTTCGGCCATGCAAAAAGTTGGCCATACAAAGGCCTCATCCTTTGCCTAGACACCTCAGCTGTGCAAGGCCTTATAATTGCCAATGCACCTCGACTATGCAAGGCATCATCCTTGTCTAGACACCTCAGCTGTGGAAGACCTCATCATTGCTTATTCACCTTGGCCATACAAAGCCTCATCCTTACCTAGGCACCCCGACTTTGTAAGGCCTCATCATTGCCTACTCACTTCGGCCATACAATGTCACATCCTTGCCTATGCACCTTGGTCATACAAAGCCTTATAATTGCCTAGGCACTTCAGCTATGCAAGACCTCGTTATTTCTTTCCATGGATGAACCATCCACCATGAAGGAAGCCCTTCATAGAGATGCATCAGCCTCATATAAGGATGTCCACTTCAATCAACGAGGCGAGTGAAATCCCCACTAGGGTCGTCCCTAACTCCATCGAGGATGATGCTCTCCACGGATGCACCATCCACCGTGGAGAACGTCCTTGAAGATGTGCTTGACGTTCCTACGGGGTCACCTCAATCAAGGATGTTCACTTCAATAAGAGAGGCACGTGACACCCCTACAAGGGTCGCCTCATCAATCCTTCGGAGATAACGTTTTCCACGCCGAAAAATACCCTTGTCGAGGTATGTGAAGCTCCCACGAGGTCACCTTAACCAAGGATATCCACTTCGATAGGAGATGTGCGTGATACCCCCACCGGGGTCGCTTATCAATCCTTCGGAGATACCCCCACCGGGGTCGCTTATCAATCCTTCGGAGATGATACTTTCCACGTCGAAAAAGCCCTTGTTGAGGTGCGTGATGCCCCCACGGGATCACCTCAACCAAGGATATCCACTTCGATAAGAGAGGTGTGTGATACCCTTACTAGGGTCACATCATCAATCCACATCAATCCTTAGTGGATGATGCTTTCCACGCCAAAAAGGATGAAATACGAATAGCCTATGAAAAAGGCCATAATTCAAGTTTGGCATTTGACCAAGAAATAGCATTAAAAAAAAAAAAACCAAAACCTAATTTTAAACACATACAAGGCAAAAATACCCCTCATTGAAAGAGAAGAAAAATCGTCATAGATTAAAAACGTGAAAACCATCTCCAATAATTCCCAAAAACCAACCACTTTGAAAGACGAATTCGGCCACCACACCGACAAACAATCATTACCGACGCTGGCACCGACAACCACAAAGAGGAAGGTTAGTTTTTTTTGCCTTTAACAGCCAATTTTTTTCATATATTGTTTTTCAATTATTTTCACATGTTTTGAGTTTATTCAATCATATATGCGTAAATCTGCTTGAATGTTAGTCTTCGAGGTGAAATTTTGGTATTTTATGGTGTGTTTGGCTCATTTTTTTAGCTTTACTTTGTCGAAAATGGCTATAAATTAGCTGGCTGCAAACAGTCGATCCCACTACCGGTTGTTTGCAGCCGGTTCAGCCGGTCGAACCGACTGTTAACAGCCAATCAAACCGGCTTTTGACGGTCGGTCTAGAAACCAGTTGTCAAAAGCCGGTTCTCATGTAATATGGCCTAGGTCGGCTATCAGTTGGGCCGATTAAAATTAATATAATTAAATATTTTACACATTTCATTAAAATTAATATAATTAAATAAATAATTGAATATTAAATAGATATTTATATAATTAAATATTTTACGTACTTGAATAAATCAAATGTGAAATAGATATTTATAGAATTAAATATTTTGCGTAATCGAATAAAAAATATATAATTAAATAACTAATTTTAATATGATAATTAATAATATCATTAAATCAATCATTTTAATTATTAAATATTATATGATAACATTTTAG